GGGTCAATGACGTGGCGTCGTGTTGGATCCCGAGCCACACGACGCCACCGAACCATCCGCCAAAAAGGTCGCCGCAACAGAACGTACAACAATTCACCTACCGATATTTTGATTGGGCAACAATTGGGTTGGACCAATGTGTGGGACCCAATAATTTCGGCTGCTCATGAGACAGGTAAAAGACGAACAGGTGCGGTAGATAAAGATGGAAATTAAATGGAGTTTCGTAGGGACAGAATACAAGTTTATTCACATTTATACCCTCCAGAAATCATGGAACTCTCTGAGTGATTTCAGCTTTTTTTTTAATGATTATTATTTTTCTCAAATCAAACCCGTTATTTTCTTATGGTGGAAATGCAGTCGGTCTGAATCTGTTATTCAATCAATCTCGTCTAATGCTAACGTGATTCAATTGTAGTATTTTGAAATAAAATTATAGGACTTTAATCCAGTAATAAAAATGATTATATTTTTAATCAATAATGCTCTCTACTTTTCGAGCTAATGCTATGTTTTAAGGTAAAGGGTAATTAAAACTACGATGTCTCCATCAATGAAGTATTCATGATTGATAATTCTAATACTATTAATATAAACTTTGGGCAATTATCAGTTCTTTCTTTATATTCATGGGCTTTATTTGTTAGCGTACAAGAAGAATGTTACGATGCAAATTATATATAATATGGATGATAATAGAGCATATTTTAGTATCACCTATGTTGATCCAGACAAGCAGACACGATGACGTGGAACTTCAAGTACGATGTGACGCAAAACACACACGTAGATTATAACCGTTTGTCACCCCCTCCATACGAACGACATCATCACTCGTCCCAGAAAACTCAAGGCGGCGCCACGCGGCGCCGATTTGTGTAAGTCGATCGGCGCTCGCACAAAAACTCAAGCCCGTTGCCCGAGGAGTCGGTCGCAGTTAATTGACCCTGTACAATCAACTCATCATCGTATGTATAAAAGCTAACCCTCCTTAATCAAGAGGGGGAGGACTTTTCGCACATTCAACTCACTCTTATTCCACTCAACGGTAACTTAAACTTCGGAGGGGTCGAGTCGAGAAATCCCCCTCCTGGCATCGACCTGTGTGCAAAGGCTGGCAACAAAGAAGCAAGCAACATGACTCATAGCTCAACCTGACCTGACACACATTTTTGCTTCCCAAGTTTTCACGTGGGCGACCTTGCACATCTGGGATCGGACCGAGCCGTGCTAACTTCTCGACCATAGCGTAAAGGTTCATCAATATTTTAGCACTAAAAAGAGAGCCCGATGTCGCAAGAGTGCCCCTAACCGAGTAACCCGAGAGAGTACCTTGGAGAAGAGCCACGCCCGACTTACTTGACCTTCGGGTTTGGAGGGCAACTCCCACTTCCTTCGAGCCTAGAAGGGAATACCTTGGTTGCGACCCTGAGCCGCTATTGGCGGCTTTTCAATGATCTTGGGATGTCACCTCCTGAGACCATCTTGGGGCAGCTTGCTATCTCAGCCATGGCATTCCTCAACCTCACCCACCAGGTGCAAGCGTTAGCTGGGATGATGCAGACCATCACACCCCTCATATCCCAACTAGCTTAGCAAACGGTTCTACCCCCACGACTGTCACCCGTGATCCAACTTACGCTCATCCTTATACCTTGCAATGTCACCCCGGTCGACCAGTCACCTCTGGCTCCAAATGCCCATCCCCTAATCGGGAAGCAATCAGGACACTTGAGGCCAATGACAGAGCGCAACGTTCCTGTGCCCAGACGCGCTACCTCGACCTTCCCCGAAGTCAACACCCTATCGTTCGACTTGGCAGATGACTCGTTCTGAGCTCAATTGCAGTTATTGAATCGGTGTCTGGATGAGGTTCAAAGGGAATTCCATAAATCCACGGAGCTCAAGGGAAGTACCTCGGTTGGGTCCCCCTTTGCCCAAGAAATTCAAGACAAGCCTATCCCCCTCAACTTTTGCCTCCCGACGCTGGAGGTCTATGATGGCAGCTACGATCCAGTGGAGCATGTTGCCACCTTCCGGGGCCAGATGGCCCAATACAGCCCTTCCGATACCCTGATGTGTTGAGCATTTCCTACCACCCTCCAAGGCCTGGCTTAGATGTGGTACAACCAATTGAGGTCGTCCTTGGTCTCGTCTTTTGATCAGCTTGCAAGGGAACTCGAGCTTCACTTCTTAGCCAGCATGCGACCTAAACCATCCACGACCATACTCCTCGGGCTAAGGCGGAAGGAGGATGAATCCCTCTCCCTCTTCATCGCCTGCTTCGCTACTGAGATCCGAGGGGTTCCATATGCCCACTCCTCTTTGGTTATGTAGGCATTCTTGACGGGCCTATGCCCTTCAAGGTTCTTTTGGTCGTTGGTCGAGAGACCACCAGTGACCATTCCTGAGATCCTCCAATGGGCCAACTAGTATGTTACTACAGAGACACTAGTGGCAAGGAAGTGCGAGAAGTGGCACAAGAGGCCCCGCTAAGAGCTACCCATGTGAGCAAATCAGGGAAAGAAGAATGTCAGCCACAACGAGGCCGGAAGAAGATGAACCCAAGATGTGCAAATCAAAAGAAAAAAAAAAGAGGTGTTACCTAAGATGTTCAGTCAATATCCGAGTAGTTGCTCGGCCAAACATGGGCATGAGTAGTATTGCTCGGCCAAACCAATGCTTGAGCTACGTTGCTCGGCCAGTCCAGTCCCTAGTGCCCGAGCAATGCTGCTCGGCCAGTCATGGGCAAGTTACTGTTTGAGTAGCTATTCGACCAAACATTGGCCTGAGTAGTGTTGCTCAGCCAAGCCAATACTCGAGCTATATTGCTCGGCCACTCTAGTCCCTAGTGCTCGAGCAGTGTTGCTCGGCCAGTCATGTGTAATCAGTCGCTACTCCATTCATTCTATATCCGAGCAGTTGCTCGGCCAAACATGGGCCTAAGTAGTGTTGCTCGGCCAAGCCAATACCCAAGCTACATTGCTCAACCAGTCTAATCCCTAGTGCCCGAGCAGTGTTGCTC